GGATGTATACATTGATGACATTGTTGTCAGGTCTAAGGTGACAAATCACCACCGTTCTCATTTAAATAGAGCCTTCCTGCGTATAAGAGCTCACAATTTAAAATTGAACCTCTAATGTGCTTTTGGTGTGAGTGCATGTAACTTTGCAGGATACTTAGTGAGTCAACGTGGCATTGAGGTCGACCAGAACAAGACCAAGGCCATCATCGAGGACATGCCACCATGCAATAAAAAGGAGTTGCAATGGTTCCTAGGTCAAGTCAACTACATTCAAAGATTCATCTCGAATTGTGCACGCCGGACCCAACTTTTCTCTTCACTGCTCAAGTTGAAGAAGGAAGATGAGTTTGTGTGGCGAGAGGAGCACCAAAAAGCCTTTGAAGATATCAAAAGGTATTTGGTGAACCCGCCAGTGCTCAACTCACCAATTCGGAATCGTCCTTTAAAATTATATCTTTCAGCCACAAACACATCTGTAGCATGTCTGTTGGCTCAAGAGAATTGTTAGAGTATGACTTGAATTTGATTTGGGTGTGTTTTGGGCCTATTTTGTTTGGGTTTGGGTTTTGTTTTGACATTTTCCTTGTATGTTTGGGAAAAGGTATTTGGTTTTCTGTTTGGGATTAGGAGAAGAGTGGTATAAATACTCTTCATCACCCTAGTCTGTAGTGAGGTCGGTCAGGTTAGTTTGTTTGGTTTGTCCATTTGGAATTTGGTTTGTAACCTGTACTCTCCTCAAATTAGTGAAATTTGTTCTCCCCTGCCCGTGGATTAGCTAGCACACATTGTGTTAGTGAACCACGTTAAATTTATGTTCGTTTGTGTTGGTTTGGATTATCGATTGCACGCTTCTGTTCTGACAAGTGGTATCAGAGCCGTGGTTGATCCTGGATTATTTGAAACTGTCTACGCGGATTTTGGGATCGCGCTACTGGTTGCTAGATTGGTTGATTGGAAGTTGTTGTTCGCATCGATCCTTTGGCGTCGGAGCATTGGAGTTCCGCACCGCGGGAAGAGAAAAGGAAAACGGTGTTGACTGATAGGATTGTTAATTTAATAGTCCTTGAAGCCGGTACTGTATATGATTACGGGGTTGCATCGCAAATCGAAGGAAGGCGGAAGCAGTAGAATTGATTTGAGCAGCGAATTTTGGCTTTATTTGTGATTGGAATCTAGAATTGAGTTACGAAATTCTACTGTGAGCCCCATTCTTTGAATTGAAATTATTTGGTTGTTGAATTTGCAGGGTGTGGAATCTGAAATTTTGGGAAGTTTGGGGTGGCACTGCAATTTTGGACTGCGCAGAGTAGCCATTGTTTGTTTTCGTGGTGGAGCTTTGGATTTGGCAGAATTTTGGTGGTTATCTTTGGGTGGTGATTAGGGTTTTTCAATCACCAAGGATGTTTGTTCTGGATTTAAAGATTGAGAAGTCGATTTGGAGTTGCAGGTTTGGAGTTGGAAGTGTGTTTTGTGTTTATGACTTGAATTTGATTTGGGTGTGTTTTGTGTTTTGGGCCTATTTTGTTTGGGTTTGGGATTGGGTTTTGTTTTGACATTTTCCTTGTATGTTTGAGAAAAGGTATTTGGTTTTCTGTTTGGGATTAGGAGGAGTTCTATAAATACTCTTCATCACCCTAGTCTGTAGTGAGGTCAGTCAGGTTAGTTTGTTTGGTTTGTAACCTGTACTCTCCTCAAATTAGTGAAATTTGTTCTCCCCTGCCCGTGGATTAGCTAGCACACATTGTGTTAGTGAACCACGTTAAATTTGTGTTCGTTCGTGTTGGTTTGGATTATCAATTGCACGCTTCTGTTCTGACAAGAATGATTCTGGTAATGATCAAGCAGTGTACTACTTAATTAGATTGTTGAACAAGGCCAAGAAAAAAAATACTCTTTCATAGAAAAGTTATGTTTGCCTTGAACTTTGCTTGAACGAAGGTAAGATCTATGCGTTAGAGTTGTATCTTGAGCGTATCAAAGTGCTGATTTCTCACTTTGACAACGTGTCCATCAAGTTTATTCCTCGTATGGGTAATGTCAAGGCCAACTACTTGGCCCAGCTTGCGTATGGTTTCAAAGAGTTTGTAAGTTGAGGAAGATATCAAATATTCGTGCAAACCCTTAGCCCTTTGAGGGATAGGATGAAACAAGTTGTTGAAGTGTGTGTGATTGAATATGATGCCAATGATAGGCGCACCCCTTTGGTGAAGTACTTGCAAAATCCAAGAGGGGATGCAAACCATACTACCAAATTTAGGGCCAGGAACTATGTCTTACTAGATGGGACACTGTTCAAAAGAAGGCCAGATGGTTTGTTGCTCAAGTGCTTGTGGGGCAAGGAGACTTTACAAAGCTATGGGTGAGGTCCATGATGGAATATGTGAAACACTTCAAGCTAGTCCATCCATGATGTGAATACTGCATCGATATGGATATGAATGCCAACTATTGGACCTGATTGTGCAACATTTGCTAAGGGATGTGAAGCTTGCCAACGTTATGGACCAGTGCAAAGAGCATTCTTTGGTTGGCAAATGGATCTGATTGGACAAGTCTATCGCCATCATCCAAGCAACATACCTTTATCATTTTGACTACTGATTATTTTACTAAGTGGGTAGAGGCAAAGCCAATAAAGACAGTGAACCATGGAGAAGTGATTTCTTTTATCAAAGAACACCTAATTCATCGTTTTTGTTTGCCAGCCACTATAACAACCGATCAAGGGACAATCTTCACTAGAGTACAAGTAATGGATTTTGCCAAAGAGCATGGCATTAAGATCATCCACTCCACACCTTATAATGCTCAGCCAATGGTCAAGCAGAAGCATCCAATAAGGTTGTAAAAGGGATCTTGTCTAAAATGATTGAGGACGATTCAAGGAATTGACATGAGGTGCTAACAGAAGCACTGTGGGCCTATAGAATGTCACCACATAGTAGTACAAGAGTGACTCCTTTCTCTTTGAGATATGGTCATGAGGCTTTCTTGCCGATTGAGATAACGATAAAGTTCCTATGATACATGAAGCAACATGAATTGACCCCTTCTGAGAATTATGAGTCAATTATGTTGAAGTTGTCCGAACTGGATGAGCTACAACTTCAAACTTTTGACAACATCCATAAACAAAAGTCCAAAGTGGCTCGGGCATACAATAAGAAGGTAAAGTATAAGTTGTTCGAGGAAAGAGAGCAAGTGTGGAAGTTGCATTTGCCAATTGGTGAAAAGGATCCAAAATTTGGTAAGTGGTCTCCTAATTGGCGTGGTCCCTTTGTTGTTCATGTTGTACGTCCCAATGGTGCTTACTTATTGGAAGATTTGGATGGTGTACAACATGAGCGCTTGATTAATGGCAACTACCTTAAGCCATACATACCGTCCCTTTGGGACGTTAAAGAATGTCAATGATTTAGATGTCAACCTGCTGCACATGGAAACCTAGTTGAAGCTTACATGATTTCTAAGATGTGCAACATGGCCGAGGAGTGAAATGGTCAGGAAAAATCTGCCTGAACTGGCCATTAAAAGATTTTTGTTATTGTCTAGCTCGAACGTAGAAGCATCCAGTCACATGGTTGCCGTCCAAATTTATAGTTTGGATGGTACCATCCAATCTCATGAGGGCTACCGTCCCTTCTAGTAATCGGCCAGGTCAATAGTTGGGATTTTCAGTCAAGACATTGTTACCTTGCCACCTTCTAGATAGATGGTACCATCCATGTGACAGGAGGTCAGGATGATGGGCCTTAAGTAATTTATAACTATGGGTTGGTTAAGTGGTAATGTGGATGGTGTGTCCAAACAAAAGGATATCATCCATGTTGTATATGGATATCATCCATGTTGTATATGGATAGGGATGGATTTTTGATTGAGTAGCTATCTATGATTAAGAGAAAGGTTGTCATTTTAAGGGATGATTTATTTTGGTGGTGGGTGGCTATGGTTTGTTATGTGTGTAAAGCCTACATATCACACACAAAAGCCAAAGTCTAAGTATAGCATATGAGAAAGCAAAAGCCTCTACGTGGGTGCAAAGCTTTAGAAGTAGCCATATGTTCAATAAATAAATTTAATTGGCCGCACAACATGAATGCCAAACTACATGTCCAATGATGCAAATAATGGATGCCGCCACCAGCAAGTTAATCGGAGTTTGCATGTTGCTAATTCCAAAAGACACACCAAGGTTCGCGTGTAAGCAAAGAGAAAATAAGCTTATTTGGCTTGGTGATTCGGGAAGGCATTGCAGAGCTACTGTTGGGAAGCATCGCACAAGCTTATTGGAGGTATGTTGGTATTTTTGAGTTGTGAATTATGATAGATGGGAGCATCAATTAATAGAGGAAAACTTAGTTGTGTCCTCATGGGAATGAGTCTCCTTTTGCTACCATCCATGATCATGACACCATCCAAACTATTAAATGGATGTTGCCATTCATGCTAGGGTATGGTGACCATTTAATCTGGTTACCATCCATGGACTGTTGTCTTAGTCAACATGGATACCATCCAAGTTATTTGGTGTATGGTGACCATCCAATTGGCCATTCATGGTATGCAGGGTTGATTGTCCAGTGACATGATAACGTGTCGAAGGTGGTTACCAGAAGCAACAATTGACTTGCAAAGGACGCTCGGAGAGGAGTTAGAGGATGCTACGTGGAGCTTATTTTCGGGAAGAGAGAGTGAAGGTGGTTAGAGTGTGACGTAGAACAAAACTTGCAGCAAGGCTCTGGATGAGAGAGACAAATCTAATGACTACAAGTCTCGTTAAATTTGTGGTCGAATCTCAGGCCTCCGATGAAGCTTCGGAGGTCGATGTTGGCTGTAGCGAGATGTGGAAGCTCAACGGCAGCAACGAACGAAGCCCGAGCCATACCCAGAGTCCGATTCCGAATCTGAGTACCCGTTCTCGGTTCTCGAGTTCCATATCCAAGTTCTCCCTGAAGAGGAAATGGGTGGGGGAAGCAGTGGCGCCGCCGACTTGAGTGATGCTGCTGCCGATGAATGATTTGGATCTCCGGCTGACCCCGACCCTCTCTCCCAAGGTTGTTTTGCTGTGCAAACCGGATTTAAGGCGGCCTGGCACACCTTCGACGAACTCCGAGGAGTCGGCGACCACTTGTTTCGAGAGCAGCGCTACTGGGGCGTGGGGCGGTGGAAGAGATCAGTACGGCGGTGATGAGGAGAAGAAGCTGCTCAACTTGTTCGTTTGATCGATCGGACGGTCGGAGAAGATGGAAAACGAGAGAAAATATTTGTCTCTGTCACCGTCTTTCTCTGTTTTTGGGCACCGGTCTATTTATTTTACTATTTATTTCATTTATTTATTTATGGTAAAAATGAGTTGGACATGAAAATATATTAAATTTTATTTTTATTTCTTAATTGCCACATCACTAAGTTAACGGTCAACTTTGAGAGTTGACTGCCACATCAGCAAAAGTTAACAGAGTTGGACGGAGAGTGACCAAACGTGAACGGTTTCAGTAAATCAAAGTACCACCAATAGATTTAAATATTTCAAGTCACCAAAATTGAATGTTTTTTTTAATCTCAGTAACCAACTATGCAATTAACTCTATTATTTACAAACAAAAAATCGATCATTCCCGTTATATCCATAATATTCACGTCGGTTTCATCATCACCATAATTTTTACACACTCCGGCATTAATGCTCCCACCGTTCCACTTCATTGATCAACCCCTGGCGGTGGAGACACGAGGATTGTCCTATTCCTGTCCAGACCCGCTCAATTTCTACTTCACAATTAAACCAGTCACCACTCGCCAGCGTATACAAATTGGTGACGAGCAAAATAAAACATGAAAATATGATGACCATATAGTAAGCAAGTGAAAGTATATATACGAAATTGGCAAATTCTTAATCCCTGGATCCTAGTTCTAAACGTGGACGGGAAGTAAGTGGATCAGTTAATCATATCATTGAGCAGTTGAGGGGCTGGGCCCGGAAATTCACAGCTAAAAACGGGCCCAACCGCCCAATGAAAGCGAGAATAAAGTTTCTAAACTGACATTTTACAAAGAAAAGTTCCAGACTGACAAGGAGACTTTACAGTTATGAAAATCAGGTTCCATCTCAATCCTCATTTTCCTCTGTATCCATTTCAAAATCAACGTCAAATCAAATCTAAATAAAAATGGTGGAAAAAGATTAATGAGATAAACATCTTAATTTTGAAAATTAATCATGCAGACATGCACGGAAACATGTATAATATGGTTCGATCTTTTCACAAATTTTATAATTAATGAAGGAATGATGGACCGAACATATATTTTGACCGGACCAAACCGAATCAAATGAACCAAATGCAAATATGGTACGATCTTTGATCTTAAGATGTCATTCATTAATAATAAATAAACCGTAATTCTCATAAGTTGGTTCCGGAGTCCGGACCAAACCATTGGAAAAAATCCCAAAGTACACTAGTTTTTAAAAAAAATTCCCAAAATACATTAGTTATAAAAAAAATTCCAAAACTACACATGTTTGAGCATCACCGTTTTTGTCTAAAACGGTGAAGGTCCTCACCGCGTTTGACAAACACGGTGAGTACTTCACCGTTTTAAACTAAAACGGTGAAGTGTTCACCGCTTTTGTTAAAAACGGTGAATACCTCACCGTTTTAATTTAAAACGGTGATGCCTTCACCGTTTTAAACTAAAACGGTGAGGTATTCACTGTTTTTGTCGGCCGCGGTGAAGTTGCTGACGTGGACAGCACGGGGTATTCACCGCGTTAGACAAACACGGTGAATAACCCGTGTTTGTTTGCGTCAGCAATCCGCGCCATTGTGCTTTCACCGTGGCCGTTAGATGCGGTGAGACGCGGATCGTGGTTTTCTTCCCACGATCCGACGCCTCACAGCACGCCACGTCACCCATACATTCACCGCGTTTGGTTAAAGCGGTGAGTTCACCGCGTTCATCAAACGCGGTGAATGGAGCCCTAATAACTGCTGCGCAGCTCCTCCCCCCTTCCCCCAAACTATAAATACCCCCTTCCCCTTTCACTTTCAACTCACCCCACAAACATTTCACTTCTTTCTCCCTCAATTTATCCGCTCTAGTCTCGTTCTAAGTATGCTCTGTGGTTGCGGCTAAGTCCGATCTTCCACATCAGAAAGAATTACTAGAGTTTGACCCTAAAGCCCCTGTCCCGCTAAGTTCCCGTCCCTTACAAAGCTAAACCCGTCGAACCTCTGTCCGGCTTCCGCCAATAATGGACGAAGAGGCTCTTCGTGTAGGTTTTTGGTTTGTGATTTTTTTTAATCGAAACAATTTGATTTATTTTTTATCAAAACAATCTCTGATTATATTACTTTTTTATAGATGGGTGCCGAGATATACGATCCTCGATTGTATATCCATTATGGCCCAAGGGATGCGAGTCTATTAACCGATCAGCAAATGCATCGCTCCCGTGCCATTTGGGATAACAATCCGGTAATTTGATGAACTGACTTGCTTTATTTTATTATTTTCTAATGTTTTATTTTGCTTTATTTAATCTAATTAATTGATGTTTTTCCTATTTTTTTTAGGAATCTCTTGTTCCCGTGGTTCATAAAGGGACCAATAACTTGCCCGCTTGGCATCCAAGGTTGGAGCCCTATATAGCGAGGACCGGTTTGGGAATGTTGCGCCATTTCTTGCGGATCGAGATCGACAACGAGCTGCTTACGGCAATGGCGGAACGATGGTGTCCCGAAACCCATACATTCCACCTTGCGGAGGGGGAAATGACGATCACCCTCAAAGACGTGGCGATCCTCACCGGGCTTCCTATATCTGGAGATGCCATCATTGGGAACACGACCAAACCCGGAGGAGGTTGGGGGCCGCTCATCCGTGATCGTTTGGGCTTCGACATGCCGACCACCACACCAAATCAAGGACGGGGGCATCCACCGTTGAATGCGGGGCAAGTGTCGGTCCCGTGGCTGGTATCTCACATCCAGCAAGAGGTGGAAATCAATGACGAGACACCGGAAGAACAAGTCGAGCGCTACGCCCGCATCTACCTCATCGGTTTGGTGGGTGGATTTTTGTTCCCCGACAAGTCCAACCGGTGGATTCAAGGCATATGGTTGCCATTGCTCACCGGTGACTGGGATGCAATTGGAGAGAAGAGTTGGGGATCGGCCGTGCTAGCGGGCGTATACCGGGAGCTGTGTACTTGCTCGAGGGTTGGGGCAAAGCAAGCTGGTGCTGCGATGTTCATCGTTCAACTGTGGGTATGGGAGCATCTTCCAATGTTCGCACCTCTCGACCCACGTCCATACCGGAGAAACGATGATGAGCTCAACCTTCTGCAAAATCTCCCTTACGGTGTCAAGTAAGTTTATTCCGTACTTAGCCCAATTTAAATTTTATTACATGCTTGAGCTAGATTTAAATTGAATTTATTCCGTACTTAGCCCAATCTAACTTTTTATTACATGCTTGAGCTAGATTTAAATTGAATTTATTCCGTACTTAGCCCAATCTAACTTTTTATTACATGCTTGAGCTAGATTTAAATTGAATTTATTCCGTACTTAGCCCAATTTAACTTTTGATTACATGCTTCAGCTAGATTTAAATTGTCTGCACTTCCGTACTTAGCCCAATTTAATTTTTATTACATGCTTAACTAGATTGAAATTGAATTTAAATTGATTCCGTACTTTTACTTACAAGGTGGATAGGAGCAAATACGAATGACCATCAGCCTGAGCATTCGTTACTGTTTTATCGTTCTGAGTTAGATAAACCATGGTGGAATCAGGTAATCATGTTTTGTCCATATTTGAACAAGATCAATTTTATCAAAGTAAATGGTCGTTAATTCCGAATTTTTGTGATTTTAGGTTATATGGGATCCATATCCACGTGAAGTGGTTGAGCTGCATCATCTTAGGCACCCTCTGGATCACGAGACGTGGTTGTGCAAGGTGCCATTGATCTGTTGGCACATTGTGGAATGGCACCTACCCGATCGATCCCTGAGGCAGTATCGAATGGAGCAACCAATTCCACAAGACCCGCCAGCAGGTTTCAAGGAGCTACATGCTATGGACCTCCGAAACAATGCAAACTGGACGCTAAAGCATGGATTCTACATCAACATCTGGGAGAATCGATCCCAATGGGTGGTGCAAGGGATGCCGGAGACGAGACCGATGGGCTACCACGATGGGTACATGCAGTGGTATCGGAAGTTCACCTTGAGATGGGTGTCAAAGCAAGGTGCTGTGATGGGTTCGGTGGTAAGTCATCCTAATCTCCCTCATTCTTAAATATATTTATTTTAATGTTTAGTTAATTTGATATATTTTGTGCTTTCCTTAGGTTGATGGTTTGGAACACGCGAAGTACACTCTCGAAAGTGCTCCAACCATGGATGAGCGGAAGACTACTTGGTTGACCCGACTTATGAATAACCTCCTGAGTTGCACCAGAGAGCAAAGGAGGGATGTCGTGGCCTATCCTCCCGTTCCTGCCCCAGCACGACCCTCATTCCGTGATGATGCAGCCATTGTGCCCCCGGTTGAGCCCCCATGAAGGAGCAAACGCAGGCCTTTGCCTACGTTCGAAGAGGTGCGTACCACTCAAGAAACCGAGCTCCCCGAACCGTTCGAGTACCAGTGGGCACCTACAGCGGATGCCGGTGGAGGCTCATCGAGTCGTGGAGGATCTCAGGAATGGGACACTTTCTCTCATGGGTTCTCTCAATTCCAACATCAGCAACAAAGTTCGATGTTTCAGACCCCGCAACAACAAACTCCGATCATTCGTCAAGCTACCGCTCCAACTCAGCCACCACCACCACCATATGTAACCCCAGTTGGGGCTCGGGTCAAGAGAAATCCGCGACCAGCCGTTGAGCGAGCCCGCCAAGAAGCAGCGGCGGAGGGGGGAAGAAGGGGTCGAGGACGTCGTGGAGGACGAGGAGGAAGAGGTGGAGATGGGGGCCAAAACGAAGCAAATTAGTGAATTTATCGTTTTATCATTGTAGTGAACTATCAATGTTGTTTTTGTGATTTTTAGGTGTTGTTATTTGAGTTTGCATTGTCTAAAAACTATCCTACGCACTTAAGTTGTCGAATGAATTTTCTGGATCATTTTATCAAGAATCAGTATCTTCCCTCAACACAAAAAAGTTGGGCAAATCAACCACGATCTCATAGAATTTTACAGATCCCAATTCCGAGTCCAAACGAGTGAGATAAGTGACGTCAAAGCGTGATCGTATCGTTAAAGTAACTTTTGCGTACTATAAACTAAAACGCCCGTATCTTATTCGTTTGAGGTCGAAATAACGAGCCGTTTGCGGCCGCGCGATCGTATCGACAAGGAAAACATTTTTGATTTAACAAAATACTTGGACTTCAAATGCAAACGTTAATTAAAAATTAAACAAGCGATCAATTTTGTAGCAGAATACAAGTAAATGCAAATTAAGTTGATGGTTGTCCTGGGCAACGCCTCTTGTCGTGACCAGGTTGTCTGCACTTAGAGCATCGCTTCGGTCCCCTTCTCGTCCGTTCAACTTGATCCATCTCATTGTGTATCCTTTCAACTCTAGGACGGCCTTTGGTGCGTTTTAGGTGCAACGGTGGGATAATCAACTTTCCAGCGTATATAGGCCAATACGCTTCATCTGGCATGGGGCTCAAAGCTGCATTATATGAGTTCCGTATCGCTTGTTCAGTGTAGTAAGGACTCACCAGGCTGTTTCTGTTCATGGTTATTGACTTAGCAACCGCCATTGCATGTGAACAGGGTATCCTTTCGTTCTGATACTTTTGACAAGAACACTCCCCTAATTCGTAGTGCAATTTGACCGTTTGACGATTGTGACCACGTCTCCCTCCACCCCATATACCTGTTTCGACAGCGAATATTCCTTCACTGCGGTTAAAAAGAACAACCTTATGCTTACTTGATTTTTCATCGTTCTTCTGCATTTGAGCGAATACGTCATGTGCTATTGAATGACCTTGCAACTCCCTCCCTATAGCTAGCTGTAGCCGAGCAACTCGCCACTCGTTGACCTTCCAATAAGACATTTCCACGATGACAGAAATAGGCATCGCTCGAAGACCCTTGTACACATTATTTATACTTTCTCCATGGTTGGTAGTTGCAATGCCCCATCTAGCCCCGTTGTCCATATGGAACGTCCACATGGGCAACTCTTTACCTTCAGCCCATACTGCTCCAGCTCGGTGGGTCTGACGGATCGTTTTCATGATCTGCTCGTACTTTTTTGGTTGATGTGCAACCGCTAAAAGGTGAACAAAAGCCTAACTGGTCAATACATGATGAATAACATCAGCTTATCAGCTTAATAAACACAAACTTAAATCGCATAAGAAAAACATGAGTACCTGCATTCCAAAGTAGATTTTTGATGTCTTTCTTCTTCCCAAATTTGTGTTGGAAATTGGCGAGCCAGTGCCGAATACACCATCTCCATCTCCACCCCCACTCGTCGGGAAAACCACCAACAGCATTCCTTATCCCCGCATGTCGATCGGATATAATCGTAATATCTTCCCGCTGTGTCACGTGTTCGTGCAGTTGGTCAAAGAACCAAGCCCAACTTAAACTGTTCTCCCCTTCCACTAATGCAAATGCAAGCGGGAAAATCCGCCTGTTTCCATCAACGCCAGTGGCAATTAGAAGACATCCTCTGTACTTCCCAGTAAGGAAAGTTCCATCAACCTGAATACAAATTTAGGATATAATTAGTATGAAATATACTTAACAGCAAATAATACAACATTTAAAACCGGAACTAGTTGGTAAAATACCTGAATAACCGGTATGCAGAACCCAAAACCGTCAATGCATGGTTTAAAAGCCCAAAAAAGACGGTGGAACATCAGCTTATCCTGTACTCGAACTTGATCCTCAGTGTATACATTGTTGTATACTGGGACGAAAATAGTCCCAGGATTGGACTCCTCCATTGCTCCCATAAGTCTAGGGAGTAAAGCATACGAATCCTCCCAATCACCATACACCTCAGCCATGGCTTTCTGCTTACCATGCCATGCTTTTTTGTACCTTATCGTGTAAGTATGTCGATCCTTCACCTCTGCCATGATAGCTTTCACCTTGATATCTGGTTGTGCTTCTATAAGGTGCTTAATAGTTCTCCCAACCTTCTTTGCTTTTAGTTGCCTGTGATCTTGGGAAAGTATAGAAGAGGAGCATGTGTGGATCGTCTCAGCTTTGCGAATCACCCAAGCACCCTTTCTCTTCATATTTGCAGCCCGCAGTTGCCACGTACAACCCTCTGCATCATGCTTGCATATGACATGTAATTGTTTACTGTCAGAATATTTTACCTTCCACTCGAAATTGCGCCTCAACGCCTCTTCTGTAAATGCATCCTGCACAGCGTCTTTCGATGTGAACGCCATACCCACCTCCAGATTGGCCGTCGGATTGTACACTGTCATAGGGACAAAGTCGGGGGGATCATTCTGACTATGTAAAAATTGAGTTGGAACCTGTGTGTAATATGGCGTGGGTGCCTCACGAAATGCCGCCTCATCCTCGTTATCATCAGTATCTTCCTCCTCCTCGCTCACTGATATCAAATCTTCCTCAGTATCCTCGTCGCTTGACTCGAATGGATAGCTCGAGCTAGAAGGATCAACATGACCACGATCACCAACATCGTCCTCTCGCTCATGTGAAGTACGCCCTGATCGAATGGTATTCTCGATTCCATACCACTCTGGCCCCCAAGCAGGCCATTGAACACCATCGGCCTCAACAAATGGGGCTGGTTTAGGAGGTTGCGAGTATTGGTCCCATCCTGCACTACTCGATCCACCGTAGTTGATTGAACCACCACCCTCCCCGTAACCTCCTGTATAACCACCGCCTTGGTAGTTGCTCGAACTACCACCCCATTCGTACCCTCCTGCAAAACCATCATCATAAGAATACTGGTGAGAATGAGATTCACCGAGCGCCTCGGTCTCAACATACACCTCTGCAAGCCGGACTTGGTTATCGCTTAGGAACTGTAACATCATCATAACCGCGTCATCATCGTTTATGACAACTTCTTGGAACACGACCCCGCCAGCACTCATGTCTGGATACCGGTAAGTAATTTTGCCAAGTCTCTTCTGTCCGCTCGTACAAACCCTTTCTGCACAAAGATCATAGAGTTCTTGAAAATTGAATCGGGATTCAATTTTCAGCATAATGGATTCGCCGTCCTCATAATCAATGGCTATGTCAGAGTTTGTCACCCTTCCATTCCACCGAATAGTAAGATGAAACTTCTTGAATTTACCCATATCTACAATTTACAATAAGTATCTATTAGCTTAAAGACAATAAAATTAACCAAAATCATATTGTACAACTAATATTAAATCATACCATAACTAACGAAAATAAATTCAACTAACTAACAACAACATAATACGAAAATTAAATCATACTATAACTAACGAACATAAGTTCAACTAACTAACAACAACATAATACGAAAATTAAATCATACTATAACTACTAAAAACATAATTAGACCATAATACGAAAAGTCTCAACATACTGAAAAATTTCTGTTCTGTGTATTATGCTCGATTTTGGCTGCTGAAATTTGAAGAAAGGGGAGTGGTTATGTTTTTACAACTGCTTGTGGTGTGCTATTTATAGGAAAATCTGCCTACTATTCACCGTTTTTGTCAAAAACGGTGAACACTATCACCGCGTTTGTCTCAGACGGTGAATAGGTGGTAGCTGCGACCTAATTTTGACCTACCAGGGGTGAGAAACGTGGGAAATTATCACCGCGTTAGTTAACAACGGTGAAGGCTTCACCGTTTTTGACCAAAACGGTGATCTATTCACCGTTGTTAATTAACACGGTGAAAACTTCACCGTTTTGGTTTGAAACGGTGAATACTTCACCGTTTTGGTCAAAAACGGTGAAGTACTCACCGTGTTTGTCAAACGCGGTGATGACCTTCACCGTTTTAGACAAAAACGGTGATGCTCAAACATGTGTAGTTTTGGAATTTTTTTTGTAACTAATGTATTTTGGGAATTTTTTTTAAGAACGTGTGTACTTTGGGATTTTTTCCCCAAACCATTGCACACTCTACCATCTTATAATTATTTTGTTCTGCAAATAATAAAATGAGGAAATAAGAATTAGATAATAAAATGAATAGAAAAAAAAAAAAAAAAAACTGAACGAGCAGTTACTTGAAACATGTATAATAGTTCTCAGCGAGCGGCGCTTTGTTTGATTCCATCTGCTCCCAACAAATTCTTGTCGAAGTAATCAGTTCAATTCATCTCTGCGGCGAAAAAATTGCTCGGAAACTAAGCTCCAATAATGGCGGCGAAGCACGACGAGCTGCCGGTCCCGATCTTCTCCTCCCTCGATCCTGTCTACGGTGGCGATTCTCAACGGGAAGAAGCTCAGCTCCGGTTCGACAAGTTGAAGTCCAAGTTTCTCCAAGTCTTCGGCCATCCCCCTGACCTCTACGCCCGCGCTCCAGGTCCATGAAATTCTCCTCTCCCAATTCCTCGATTGGCCGCGAGAAAGGAAATAACCGCTAGTCGGAGTGACAGAACTCGGCGGTGCACTAACTGACGAGTTGGTTTGCGAGTTTGCTTGTTTTGTTCGGCAGGACGAGTGAATTTGATTGGCGAGCACATCGACTATGAAGGCTACTCGGTGCTGCCAATGGCGATTCGGCAGGACACGATCGTAGCGATTCGTAAGCGGTCTCCATCGGAGGCGGAGAAGCTTCTTCGAATTGAGAATGTCAACGAGGAGAAGTATGCAACGTGCATTTATCCTGCGGATCCTAACCAGGTAAGTTTCCAGAATAATCATTAGAAATTGACTTCAGGGAAAAAATAAAGAATTGCATCATGATTTTGGATTTGGTGCAGGAAATTGACTTGAAACATCACAGATGGGGCCATTATTTCATCTGTGGGTGAGTGAGACTTGGAGAACCTTAAGTTTGTTTCTCTTCCCAATTATGGTGTCTGCTGTGGTTTTGTTTATGGCTTACTCGCTGTGCTTTACAGGTACAAAGGTTATTATGAATACGCCAAAACTAAAGGGATGGATGTTGGAGTCCCAGTTGGGCTTGATGTTATGATTGATGGAACTGTTCCAACTGGTATGTTAATTACGTTGGCACTGTGGGTTCAGTTCTTTGTGGGTTAATGTACATTTTTGGGAACTTAGACTGTACGAGTTGATTCAGGGTCCGGACTTTCGAGCTCTGCTGCATTTGTTTGTTCTGCTACTATTGCAATTATGGCTGCTTTTGGTGTCAGCATTCCAAAGGTAAACTAACCAGAAGAAAGATTTGGAGGCTTTTGTTTGCATTTTGTTCTTAGCTGCCTTACTCTTGTGCAGAAAGAAGTTGCTCAGTTGACGTGTGATTGTGAAAGGCATATAGGAACTCAATCTGGAGGAATGGATCAGGTTTGTCAAGTCTATATATTATCTGAATCAACATTTCTAGTTGTGTATAGCTTCTGCCCTAGATTTCCGTATTGGAAACTAGTAGTTGCTGGCTTAGCTACTCTGTTGTGGGGATTATCTATTTGACAATGAGTTACTTGGCAGGCGATCTCTGTAATGGCTAAGTCTGGATTTGCTGAACTTATAGATTTCAACCCTGTTCGAGCAACTGATGTGCATCTGCCTGATGGTGGGACTTTTGTGATTGCCCACTCTTTGGCAGAGTCTGAAAAGGCTGTCACTGCTGCAACTAACTACAACAACAGAGTAGTTGAATGCCGCTTAGCTTCTGTAAGCATTTCCCCCTTCTTTTCTGTCAGTCTTTCCTTTCGTAGGGATTTGGTCGGGAAGAAACTCGAAACAGAATTAAGATTTGGACCGCAGGAAATCCATACCCATCTGTGATCATCATCGCTTTGCTGTTTGGTTTACATATCTTTCAGATCATACTTGGGATAAAGCTTGGAATGAAACCTGAGGAGGCAAGATCAAAAGTAAATACCCTTTCTGATGCAGAAGGGTTGTGTGTATCTTTTGCTGGCAAACGTGGTTCTTCTGATCCTGTTATTGCCGTTAAGGTATCACTACCAACCCCTTCCCACTTGTTTGGTTTTCATCGTCATGTTATTTACCATTTTTCGTTTGTAACCTGCTCGTTACTGTGAACCATTTGTTTTCACTACTGCTGCAGGAATTCTTGAAAGAAGAACCTTATACAGCTGAAGAAATCGAAAAAATAACTGGAGAGAAGCTTACAACTACATTTAGCAGTTCTGCATCCTCATTGGAGGTGCTAAAGGCAGCCAAGAACTTCAAGTTGCATCAGGTATGCGAAAAGAAATCGAAAAAATAAATGGAGAGAAGCTTACAATTACATTTCGCTTAATGAACTATTTTGCTCTGCTTGAACTCTTGCATCTTCCTGAGTAAAATGTCATAAATTTCCCATTAGGATTTTCATTTAATCGAACTCTTTGACAGCACAAACCTGTGGGACTTCTGCTTCATCTATTTACCTGGTTCTAATAACTTATTAAGCCTTACACGTTGGGTCATTCTTGTATCACAGAGGGCAGCCCATGTTTACTCTGAAGCCAAGCGGGTGCACACTTTCAAGGATACTGTGGTGGCAAATCTCAAGTATGCAATCTTCCACCCACGATCTTGTTTAATTGCAGACTCGATTTAGCCAATTAATATTAGCACCTTTCCATGTTTGTGTTTGTTGTGATGGCATTTCACATGTTGAGCTTGTAACTCACAAAGAACAGTTATTTTTTACAGGGATGAGGACAAGCTAAAGACGCTAGGTGAGCTGATGAACGACAGCCACCAAAGCTGCAGCATTCTATATGAATGCAGGTACATAATTTGTCACCTTGTAGTCATTATATGCATGCCAACTTCGACAGTCAGATCATTAGCGCAAATCTGAACTTTCAATAGAACTCCAAATGTTCTATAATCGCAAAATATCAACGAACTACGCTCACTCCTCGGATTACATGATGTTCATCTCTTCAACCTTCACTCACCAGTTGCCCGGAGTTGGAAGAACTCGTAAAAGTCTGCCGTGATCATGGAGCCTTGGGGGCCAGGCTAACAGGAGCTGGATGGGGCGGTTGTGCAGTTGCATTGGTGAAGGAAGCAATTGTTCCACAGTTCATCCTTAACTTGAAGGTATGCTAATGTTGTTTTGACGAAAGTTGATAGTAATGATAAACATATTTAACTTCGGTGGCTACTTGTTTTGCTTTGTTCTTTGTCCAGGATAAGTTCTACCAGTCGAGAATAGAGAAAGGGGTGATCAACAAGAGCGATCTAGGCCTCTATGTGTTTGCTTCGAAGCCTTCCAGTGGTGCTGCTATTTTGAAGCTCTAGACCCTGTTCAATCATCATATGAACCCCGTTTCCATAGCCATCTTGTAAGAAGTTAGTTTTTACCTTTGTTTATGCACAAAATTAAAACATGAGTATCAGTACATTGTTATTGTTAGTTTTTACCTTTGTTTATGCACAAAATTAAAACATGAGTATCAGTACATTGTTATTGTTGGATGGTGGAATATAAATAAAAATTTCGGTCTTTCAGAACTGTGGTGGCGTTTAATCATCATTTTCCTACCTAAAAGCCGTCAACCGGATCACTCTCTCTAGGTTTATAATACCTGGTGTGATCATGTTTAAAGTTTAAACTTGAAAAGATCCGAGTCTAGAAATACAGTGTTAGTCCCTAATCCTTATTGTATGGCGTGTTTAAGATTAGTTTGTTTTGTTATATTTGTTAACGTAAAAAGTATGATTTGTAACGCTTCTCATAATTAAGTTTAGGATGACAAAAATATCTGAGACCATAGATATCCACCCGAATATGAACTAATCGGTAAAGATTAAACTCGAACTCGAACGATTTTCAGTGAGTATGGTTAAAATTCGAATCCTAAAATTGTGGATAATAGGTGGACAAGGTTTTCTCACTATCCAATCCGAATCAGCCCGATTATACACATGCATGATGCATATGTATTTTGTCTAGATATTATCATTATTTTTCTCGACATAATAAATTGGGATGTACTATTTGTAGCCTTAACTTTTTTTTATTTATTTGTAGCCCTAAATTAAAAAATTATATTAATACCCACCATATATAAATGCACACATTTCAAGACAAAAAAATTGAAACACTTTCCTCAAACACATACCTACTCTTTGTCGCCAGCGACCTCCACCACACACCGGCCTACCACCGCCTCCGCGCCTCCAGGAAACGATGTCGAGAAGGTAAAATGTGGCGGCAAAAATTTATTGGGACTATAGCGACGAGGGTACACGTACGATAGTCCGAGACCGAGTGACCAGGATTATGATAGAGTCGTGAACAACGTTCACTTTCCGTAAAGAATATTTCCACCCTCTACAAAGCCTTGGGTTACAGGAAATTTTTTCGTAGGATAAAACTATCACCACTTTAGGTTCCAGACTCAAGAACGCTAAAACATACTAGGAAGAAGAGGAATCCTTTCATGGTGTGTTCTTTTTCACCACAACCGTTGCCCCCATTTATAGAGACATAGCCGCTTCGTGAAAATGTTTGGTGGCTAACTACCAATTCCCAAACGAACTCATCATCGAAATCTAACCACCAATTTCAATTTATGAAGAGTTGTATTCCATCATGAACCAATGTATCACTTGGATCAAACAAAGCATGTAAGGACAATTAAAAAATGCATCACGTGGTGAAATGGAATGGGAAGTTTTCCAATTCAAAAGGAAACGTTGGATAATAATTATATTGGAAAGTAGGCTAATTTATTAATTACCTGACCCAATAATTAACCAATTTGATCCAACCTCAAATCGATATGACCCGATTAGTTCGGTTCAACCAAATTTTCAACATTTCTCCCCATTTTAGTGTATTTAACAAATCCACTAAAATTACAATATTCTTCCAACAAAACTTAAGCATCAATGAAAATGTCGTGACGATTGAATTTTCATCTTAGTATATTACACTTGACAAATATTCGAATACAAAGGGTGTCGGTAACGATTGAACCCATTGACGCATATGAATATTCGAAGACAATATACACTTAAGTTTTCAAAACTTCTAAACTCCTTGGCACTATTATCCACCATGTGCCCAATCCTTCTCATAAGCGCACACAAAACCAAAGTCCGGGTTTTTTGAAGCAGTTACACTTCATGCTTATGTAGGTTGAATCTCTTATTCGTGTACCCGCATAATACACTTTGACAAAGATTCAATTAAGAAGTTTTAAACTTCATCCTCTTCTCTCATGCAGGAAAACAAGCACATACCTCGGGATGACAAATTTTGTGCTTCAATTTCTGATAATAAGCTTTCCACATTGAATTCAGCCTCTAAGGCCTTTCAACCTCCATAATCCAAGATGGTCTTAATCTCACTCGACGACACCGTTGCCGCCAGCAACTCTACTCCGTTTTGATTCGTGTCATCCATAATGAACACTTCTCACTCAGATTATCTGACATAAGCTCCTCCGTCTTAACGACTCTCTCCTCAACTGCCATATTCGGCGAGACACTGATCCACCCACACGTTCGGTTCTTCTAAGAGGATGCGAGTTCTTGGTTATTGATTAGCCTCGACTTTTGTCTTGCAACTAATTTTGTCGTTATGCGACAGCCTTTGATGGAGCATGGTTGGGCATTTGGCAAGTGCGCGGACGTGAGGGACCGGTTACTATGACAACACCCCTTGTGTTGTTATTGTAACAACACTAGTCTCCAACCAATAGGAAGCTAGGGTTGTGATGAATTTTTATTAGATGAGTTGACGTAGTGTAAAATCAAAGCAGGGGTATAATTGTCATTATGAAAAATATGTTTAAATAATAATAAATAATTTGAAAAAATTTATTTTTGGCCCAAAATTTTGGTCGCCGGAATTCGGCCACCAATCGCCGGAATCTGGCCGTGGTCACCGGAATATGTTTTTTGTCGCCGGAATATGCTATTTTTTCATCGGAATATGCTCAATGTCGCCGGAATATGCTCACCGTCACCGGAATATGCTCATCGTGGTCGGAATATGCTTACCGGCGTCGGAATCTAGTCATCGGCGCCGGAATCTACTCACTGACGGTCATCGGAGTTTGGTCAACGGCCAACGACCGCCGGATGTTATGGTCTGCATTGTGAGATTTATGGTTTGGTTTCTCATATTTTTGTATGCCTTTTGTGGTTTGCTTTATCGTGTTTGTGGTTTGCATTGAGAAGTTTCTGGTTTGCTTTCAAAAATTTTGTGGTTTGCGTTGAGAGGTTTCTGGTTTGTTTTAATATATTTGTGGTATGCATTAGGAAGTTTATGGTTTGCTTTTTTGTGGTTTGATTTACTGTGTTTGTGGTTTGCATTAGGAGGTTTCTGGTGTGCTTCGCAAATGTTGTGGTTTGCTTTGTGAGGTTTGTGGTTTATTTTAGGAGATTTGTGGTATGCATTGGGAGGTTTTTGGTTTGCATTAAGAAGTTTCTAGTGTGCTTTCGAAACTTTTGTGGTTTGTTTTGCGAGGTTTCTGGTTTGTTTTAATATATTTGTGGTCTGCATTAGGACGTTTTTTGTTTGCTTTACCGTATTTGTGGTTTGCATTAGGGGATTTTTTGTGTGCTTTTCAAAATATTTATAGTTTGCTTTGTGGGGTTTCTGATATGTTTTAACGAATTTTTGGAAAGGATAATCATCAAATAGGTAATAGAATAATCTTAGATCACTCGAAAAGATTATGCAAATCGTTCAATATAAAGACCAACCGATAGCTTGTCTTGTAGCTTATTGTTATTCAATCTCCTGCAACCCAACAAAAGTTTTTGCTCTTTTATAATCCACATGTAGTAAATCAATTAGAATTTGGGAGGCAAGGCAACGATTTTTTGCCTTTTTGGACACATCACGAAGAGACATTGTAGAAAGCCAGGGGGAAAGATGAAAGGCTTCTCTCTAAAATGCTCTCAAACAGATACTTCTACACCTGATGCCTTCAATGATACTATTCGACCTGCTGCCTTCAATGGAGCCTTCAGATATCAATTAATAGCCTCACCAAACCAACAAGATACAAAGCGATTACTTCTCAGCTGAGAGTTAAGAAGACAAAATCGACTGAAATTAATGAAGAACAAGATAGAGGGAGTCTGCTGCTACCAGATCAGCAACCAGTGCAGCCACTACCTCTCGACTATAGTGACAACAATTATGGGAAGGAGATTTGGATACCACCTCCGGATCTGCTGAGCCAACCCAATTTATGGGCGGTCAATATCTCAACTGAAGATATCTGCAGCACACAAATTGAGATCACAATGGGAAGAAAGGCTATCCTACTGAGGTATAAATTAAATGACAAAGACATCACCGGCCGCCAAAATGAGATCATCAAGCAGACAAGGGCAACAGAGGAGCATTCAAAGCTACTGGTATTCAATATGAGGGGATGGTTTGCAGCTAGTAATCCCAGGGGAAGTAAGGAAAGTAAAGAGGAACTAGCCAGTAAACAGATGGAAGCGCGCATAATCATGGTTCAGAAGGAGGAAATGCTAAGAATTAAGACTGAGAAGATGTTTACTGCTATCGCCCCAGCCTCTAATCCAGCGGTTATAAAGAACAACCAAAGGGTGATGCTAATTACACTCAACTTTTACCCAGAAACCACTTCATACACTATCCTGGAAAAACAAAACCGATTCAAAAACCAAAGATCAAAGGCGATCATCTTACCTGATCACAGCAAAGCTACCATGGAATCCAATCAGGTGATTGAGCAAGAGCTGCCAGGCCATCTCGTACTCAACATTCATCCTCAAGTGGTCAGTGGCAGGTGTAGAGGAATGGCGATGCTACTGGGAAAATGGCTCACAGCAACACCTATCTACCCAGTCAAAGCGAAGAGTGCTGTCCAGAACAAGTGGAAGAACTTTGGGGAGATCGAGTCCAACAGGGGAGGGAAGAACCTGTATGTCTACTCTTTCCAATAAGAGAAAGAAATAGATGTTGTCTGGGAAGTGAGGCCATGGAGTCTGGCTAACACACTCATTGCGCTCAAGAAGTGGGATGGGATTGTCAAACCGCAGGAAGTGGAGATTCGATCCATATCTCTATGGGTTCAGATGCACAACCTTCCTCAGCCCTTACAAGCAGAATCGGCTATACAAGCTATTGGGGCGTTTGTCTTCCCCCAATTCCACAGGGTGGATAGATCAGGTCTGGAAACGAGGGGCTGGAAAAGATTCGTGAGGGTGCTGGTGGAACTAGATCTGAACGAACCAATCCCAATTGGTTTTGAGTATCCACTGGGAGAGGCATCGGTGTGGGTCGGATTCAAATATGAAAGGCTCAATGATTTCTGCTATTTCTGCGGAAAAATTGGTCACTTCATGAATACCTGCGAAAACCGTGAAGAAAACAGAAGGAGAGGATTGACGGTGGAAGCGTCGGGGCTGTATACGGCGGCACTCAGAGCCGGACCTGACTCACCGGCGAGCACACCGCCACCTTCGTTCTTCAGGAGAACACTTAGTCGTACTCAGGCCGGCAGCGCTGGGGCCGGAGCCATCATCAACACCATTGAGCAAAACATCTTTCCCCACCTGGCACCCAGGGAAGATAACCCAACGGCCATTTTGTCAGACAATTTCAGCTATCGAAATTCTTGTCCCCCGGGCTTTGAAGGAAGAAGGAGGTGAAATCAGGGGGGACAAATCTTGTCTGACTTCTTCCCCAATGAAGCTTTTGGCATGACTATCAGGGGGTGTTCCCCAAGGAGACTGGAGGTGGAGCTGAATGAGGTTGCAGAAGTAGTGGAGAGGTCGCTGGATCTCAATGAAGGGGATGGAGAAGGTAGTGCTGCAGCGGCTGCTAGGGTCTACTCCCATGGGCCTAATGCCAACAGCCCATTACGAACCCTAAACCTATTGGGCTCGCAAGATGGCCCAGAAGAGGAACAAGCTATCTATGGACAGACTCTATCTCTGGTGCAAGAAGCCCAACAAAATTATGAAAGAGGAGTGGGCCGAGTGGAAAATAAAAGGAAGGCAAACCAAAGGGCGCCTCTGTTGGGAATCCCAATTAGCCCAGCCCAGCCTATTCCATTTAACTCTGATTCCCTCACTTTTTCTCCAGGTCTGAGTGGTCGTGAAAAACAGAGGAAGAAGCAGGTGAGGCGCCGATCAATGGAGGCTATTTTGGCGGGAAGTAAAAATACAAATGAAGGGGAACCTGATTCTCCAAGGGCAGCGGTGGATCGCCCAGAGTTACCTCTAAGTGAATGAACATCCTCAGCTGGAACTGTAGGGGGTTTGGGCAACCCCTTACCAGGAGCTACTATAGTCGGCTATGCCGAAAGTTCCGCCCGTCGTTCCTCTTCCTCATGGAGACGAAGCAGGATTCGGATTTCATGAATGATGAAAGACGAAAGACAATTTTTTCAGGATTGGAGTATGTTAATCCCGCGGAGGGATGTAGTGGATTATCACTATGGTGGACAGCAGGGGTTGACTTTCAAGTTTTAGATTCCTGTAAACACTATATTGATGGCATAGTTAGGTGTGGTAGTCAGACTTTCTTTTGTACGTTTGTTCACGCCCCTGCTTCATCTACAAGCAGAAGGGAGTTCTGGGATCACCTAAGCACTATCCGGGATAGCTCGGAAGATGCCTGACTGATTGTGGGAGATTTAAATGTTGCTGTGTGTGATTCTGAAAAAGAGGGCAGATGCCCTCTAAGGAATGAGAATGTCCAACCGTTCAAGTACTTCATCTCGAGAAATGGCCTAATTGATCTTGGATACAATGGTCAAATGTTCACATGGTCAAACCGTCACCAAGGGGACAATCTCATTAGGGAAAGACTTGACAGAGGGCTGTGCTCAGTCTCATGGAGGATTATGTTTGAGAATGCTACTGTGTTCCATGAAGAAATGATTCAATCGGATCATAGCCCGCTGAGAATTGAATTGCTCTATAAGGAGAGAAGACACAAAACTCCTTTCCGGTTTGATAAAAGGTGGAAAA